AGGCTGCCCTGAACCGATAAATGGAGTCATCTATTCTTCCACGAATGGTGTATTCAAGCCACGCCAGCTACCGCACAGTGGGAGAAATGGTCAATCTAGCRGCGCTTTAGCGAAATTTTTAAATTCAGAATTCTCCAAATTTTGTTTGTTTTATTGAAAATTTATTTCCGAACGGGGTCTTTTCTGTTTTCGTTTTTGTTTTGTTCCAAATATTCGCATATCTGTGAGCTTTAGAATTTAACACATGTTTTTGCAAGTGCAATAATTACTATTTACCTATTTATTTTTAAGTGCAATTTTTGTTGAACTGAAAAAATTAAATATAAAATGTTGTAATAAGATTTGYGACTTAATTATTATTATTTGGTATGTCTTAAATAAAAAAAAATTCATTGTGGTCTGATAATCTTGTTTTAAATCTTTATAATGGAAAATGAAATTGTCCTATATCAAAATGTTTTTATATGTGTAATCCAATGTTCCGTAGAAWATAAGTGTGGTGGATTCAATGTTATTCGATTCAATGTTTGTATAATTTGTTAAAATATGTTGTGGTCTACGTCTTGTCCAAAAATTGGCTGCCAGTATTTGAAAGTGACTTTTTTCCTTTTTTAGATACTATGGCAGAGTCTAAAGAATGTCATAGGGTTATGTCAGTGTTCGAAGAGCGAAATAAGAAATGGTTGGATGAAAAAAAAACTTTTCTAAGCCAACTGTTCATCACCGTATACAAAAACCTTTTTCAGAGTGTACAAGGAAAACTCCAAAAAATTGTATCAGCTGTTTATGGTAGCGGCAAGCGTAAGTCTTTACAAAGCTGGAAAAAGAAATGCTTCACAGGTTGTTTCACAATTGTTTGAAGAAAGTTCGACTGCTTCGAAAATGCTTAAGTCTGTAAGCTCTGAACAAAAAAAAAAAACAGTTCCATATACACCTGAGGAACCTTTATCTCTTTATATAGATGGCGGATACTCAAAAAGATCGTAAAAAATAACGCAATATGGTGCCAAAGAATGAAACTGCAATATTTATCCAAGTTACGATATTTTACTTAAGCTAAAACAGAGTGTTACCCCAGTGGCATACACGTAACTGAACTTTCAGCGGAAGTTGCCCTGCAAAGTCTTATAGATCATACTGTTGCACGTATAGTAAAAGGATAGGACAGCATAAAAGCAATATCTAAATGGGGCTGTGACGGCAGCAATGGTCACTCCACTTACCGTCAACGTTTTAGTGCTTCTGATTGTGAAATAACTGATGAGTATTTATTTTCTGTATGTATTGTGCCTTTACAAATTAAAAAAGGAGACGCTGTTCTATGGCAAAATAACAGGCCTTCTTCAACTTGGTTCTGCAGACCCATTAAAATAATTTTTGAAAAAGAGTCAGCGGAGTTTAGTTAAGGTTGAGATAGATAATATTAAAAGGAAAATTGTAAGCATTGTTCCGACAAAGTTGAGTTTTTTCGAAGTAGTACATGAATTCCATTTAACAATGATTGATGGGAAAGTTTTTAACACTTTAGTGGGCTCATCATCGCAGGCCTGTGGAATTTGTGGAGCAACACCAAAATTCATGAATAATCTAAATAATGTTCAATTGAGACAACCACAGGAGCACTTGTATGAGTACGGATTGTCAACACTCCATGCTTGGATACGGTGCTTTGAGTGTATAATTCATATCGCCTATAGAATACCAATACAAAATTGCCAAATTCGTGGAGAACATAAAGAAATCGCTCAGCAAACCAAAAGAAAGATTCAACCTGAGCTAAACGAAAAAATGGGTATATTGATGGACATTCCCACGAAAGGATCAGGCAATACAAACACTGGGAATACTGCAAGAATATTTTTCCAGCATCTAATTTTAGCCTCTACAGTAACTGGAGTAAAAGTAGAACTTATAAAAAGATTTGGTATAATTTTGCGTACTATGGCATGTGAGTATGCAGTTAACATAGAGGCTTTTCGCATATATGCTTGGAATACAGCAGAATTATTTGTTTCTGAATATCCTTGATTTTATATGCCTCCATCTGTACATAAAATATTTATACACGGAGCAGATATTAATGAAAACCAAACCAAACACAAAGGAATGATGTCAGAAGAGGCACTTGAGGCAACAAATGAAGATTTCATCAGTTATAGACTGAACCATATGCGAAAAAACTCAAGGTTGAATACAATGGAAGACTTAATACACACTATTTTAGTTTCTTCAGATCCTATTATTACATCTAAGTTTAAAATCTCCTCCAAGTACTCCAAAAATCACATTGAAATAGATGATGCGGTCAAAAACCTTCTTTTACATATAAATGATCTACCTGACGGCAGTAATTCTGAGAGCTCCGACTCTGAATAGTTTTTTTTTCTAATAAAACATAAAAACATATAAATAAATAATTAACACATATTTTTAGAATAAAGTAATGCATTTTTTTATTGTATTTAAGAAAGCGTAGCTAGATTGACCATATCTCCCACTGTGTACCGTCGGCCTCATCAACGCTTGCATTCAGACGGAAGTGTTCCAGCAGTACGGCTTTTCGTCCGCTAGCTACTAACGCCAACCTTTCCAAATTCTTCATAAGTCCGTCCAGTGTCAATGCTAAAATCTGTTCATGGTCAAATATCTTACAAATTTAATCTCAATATAAATTACAATTATTGTAATGCAAAAAAAAAGTTACAAAATTTTATTTTTGTATATGGTGAGTTACCAACCTTTTTTGATAGCTTCGAATCGCGATATAAAACAACGACGATGTACATTTACCAAATTATTTATTAATATAAATATATATAATACAACGAATAGAAAGTTACGTGGCTGGTAGTTTACCAGGTGATATGCATTGCGTCTGCAGGTAGCGAATATAAAAAGCGAACTAATAACTATGATGCTAGGCTTAGGCAAAGCTAAGCTTAATTGTTCTCACATGTATATATGTATAAACATATTAAAGGATTAAGGGAAATGAGGAATTAGAATACCGAGTAATGCTGTGGTAGATATGCACAATAGAGTGACCAGCTAACAATTAATATTAAATCTCAACACAGTGGGTTGAATATATGTGTGTGTATAAATTTAGTTAACTTAAGTATACATAATAACTTAAGATTAAATCTACTCATTATTGGAAGTTCTGTCGTGAAAGGAGCTGCTCCGAACAGCATACGTTTATTAAATACTGTTGGATCACCAATTGCAAACCACTGCATACTTCCACCAAATGTTCTTATATATTTTTTGCTATTTCTACTTCTTAATATTCAAGGTTAAGCATTAGAAGTCATTTACCTCAATGCAGTTAATAATTGTATTTGTGTTTGCATTGTATTTGCTTGCGTTTGCTCTGTACACTTTGATAACGCTATTTTTCGCTCACGCAATTACACGTATATATGTTTTTTTATGCACATTAGTTACCACCTTATAGTATCGTTACTCGGCTATAAAAAAGTTTTATAGCCCTACATTCGGAGTTTGGTGGTCAGTATTAGACTGCATCGTTGGACATTATCGTCATTGGATTTTTACCATTATACATCATTCCCATTAGACAAATCAGCATCACTCGCACACAGAACAACACATCTACTTGTCGCCGCTACGTTTCGCTGGTACCACTTCCTCCAGGTGATATTCGCATATTTGTTGCATCGCATATATACAATATTAATCTCGTTGATGCTGTTTTGCAATAAATTAACTAATCATTTCTTACCTAACTACTCACTAGAAGGATAATTATAATTATTTGAAATAATTTTGAAGTCAATATAAAGCACATATGTAGATAAAATCCCATTCAACAATGTCTTTGAACGAACTAAAACAACAACGTACCAACCCCAAGAAAGGTTTAAAGTTTCTTTTAGTGGCGGAATACAAATGTCGTTTCGGCATCCTGGAGTCATACTTCAAGCATATTCTCTCAATTCAAACTGACATCGAAAGACTGGATGGTGAGGTTGGAGGACGAGCCTGGAAGAACTTCACAAAACAACTAAAGTGGTTACCCAATCGCAACTGGCAGAAGATAACAACGTTTCATTTTCGGATACAACTTGCATGGTACAATGAAGTTCAAGACTTCCACCACTTAAGCTTCCTACGTTTGATGGCAAGTATTCGAATTATCCACCCTTAATTACCTCGTTCAAACAAATAATTGATCACGAGTTCATTTTAACAAATATTGAAAAATTCAACCATTTACGAAATTTTATCCAAAGTCAAGCCTTGGAAACTGTAAGTGCGTTTCAGGTTACAAATGAAACTTACCCAAAGGCGTTAGAACGATTGAAGGTACGTTAATACAACAAAACACTAATTTTCTTGGAAGGAATAAATATTATTTATATCTGATTTACCTGCAGTTATAAAACCAAATGGCATTCAGTCAAAAAGTTTGATAAAGCTTCTGCTATTTATGGTCCCTTGACATCACTGGGTAGTGACAGGCAAATTTCTCAAGCTATGCTAATTTATCTAATATTTTGGAAGTCTGATGAACATAGCAACAAAAATTGGAAGGAATCGCTAGATTTTAGAACGCTGCCGTCATAGGAAGATTGCATTGCATTTCAAAACACATTGCTTATCCACCAGATCCGGAAATCAACATTTCAACATGGAATATTCCAAACAATATAGTACTCGCTGATGATGAATTTCATATACTCAAGAAAATCGGCATGTTGCTGGATATAGAAACGTTCTTCAGTCTTCTATCTGTAGGTCAATCCGTCTAATTTACCCATCCTGCAAAAAACGCTCGATCTAAACCATCTTCTTTGTTTTTAGCCTTTGAATCTTTAGATGCCAAATGGGAAAAGTTTGTGGAAATTGGAAGAAGTTACTACCATCCCAGAGCCTTAGACTCGTGATTAACAGATTTGCGATCATTTATACAATGCAACCGTATAAAGAAGACCTTGCGGCAGAAAAGTTGCCAAACACCTTTCAAGGATGATGGGATGTGTTTGGGCGAGTCATACACTACGGCATTGCGACGATTCAATGCACAAGAACGTCGATTAGCCAAATCACCACAATTGACACCACAGTACGTTGAATTTATGAACGACTACGAGAGCCTGGATCATATGAGCGTTGTAGAGAATCCGAATCCGAGCGAACCGCATTATTTTATACCACATCATTGCGTTCTTAAACCAACAAGTCCAACAACAAATCTTCGAGTCGTATTTGACGCCTCCTGTCGAACTACATCCCAAAAATCACTAAACGATATTCACATGGTTAGTCCTACAATCCAATGCGAACTTTTTATTCGTATTTTTCGTTTCCGATAGGTTTATACTCACTGCGACATAGTCGAGATGTACCGGCAAGTATTAATGCACGAAGATGATCGACTGTTCCAGTACATTCTATGGAGGAGTTCACCGACTGAAGACATTCGCACATACCAACTAAATACTGTAATGTATGGATTGGCTGCTGCACCATATCTTGCTACACGGAGTTTGTTGTATTAGCTGAACAGTATTCAGAACAATTCCCCATTGGCGCAAAGATCATGAAGTCATCATTTTACGTAGACGATTTACCGTGTGGTGCTGACAATCTAACCGAACTTTCACAGATAAAGCAAGTAGTAACATAACTGTTAAAATTAGGAATGTTTAAATTATCACAGATTCAGAGAAGACGACTCTTTAAATGATCTAAACGTAGATTCATCTATCACTAATGCACTCTGACTCTTGGAACCGAAAATTAGACCAACAATTTCTCATACATCTTTAATATTTTTCTTTGGATAGACTCACAATTAGTGTTACATTGGCTGAAGATGCATTCTGCAACACTTTTGCCCTTTGTTGGCAATCGAATTTCGGAAATCCACTTAACCAAAGGTGCCGATTGGAGACAAGTACCAACTCATAGTAACCTGGCGGCTGTTGCGTCTATAGGATGTACCGTAATGGAACTTGATGGTTTAATATGGTAAACCGGTAAAACTCGTGCATTTTACGAACTTCTTAACTTTAATGTTCTAATGTTTAATTATAGATACTATAATCCATATAGTACATTTCTACCCTTCAAGCGCCCAAATTTTTTCTCTATTAATATCCATTAATTTTTATATCAAAATAAAGTTCAATTTCTGCCGAATAATAAAGTTTTTAGCAGAACGAGGTCTTGCGTTTAGGAGTAGTGACGAAATTGTTGGTTCACTTCACAATGGAAATGGATGTGGATTTAGGCTTGTTACAATTAATAGCCCAATTTGACGCTTTTAGGGATCAACATATTCAAAGTCGTGCTAATAAAGCAAAGGGACATACGTCATATTTCTCAAAAACAACTTGTGAGGAATTTATTCATCTAACTGCATCAAGCATACTAGATAAAATTATTTGCGAGATGGAAATACTACTCAGTTTCATTGGATTCTACTCCAGATAAATCACATATAGACCAACTGACTCTGATAGTATGCTATTTTCTGCCATCTGAACCAGTGGAAATCTTTGTTAAGTTCTTGGACATGAAGGGTCATACTGCTGAACAACTCGGTCAAAGTTTGCTAGATTTCTTGAGTAAGGGTGGCAGTAATATCAAAGATTGTCCTGGGAAAAGCTACGATAATGCCAAGAAAAAGAGTGGGAAATACATCGGCTTACAAGCCCGAATGAAGAAAATAAATAAGTATGCAAAATACATTCTCTGTTTTGCCCATTCATTAATTTTGGTTGCTAAGAGCGCTGCAGACTGCTCCACAGATTCATTGCTTTTCTTCGATTTCATTGAAACCCTCTATACAGCAAGAAACAGGAGCCTCTGGAACAACAATATTATAAAATTTTATTAAATAATTCTTTAGAATCGTGTTTACCAAGCTTAGAAATTGCTTTGGGAATTTACTTATAACCACTAACTGTACTGGCGAACCTTCTTTTTCGACATTAAAACATATTAAACATGAATTAAGGAACACGATGGATAGAGCATGACTTCCTTAAAAAAAGTCGATATTGAAAGTATTATCTCTAAATTTGCCCATAATAAATCCAGAAAAGTTTATTTGTAACAATTTTGTTTTATTTAATACCCTAAACTTGAGAACCTATAGCAAATCAAGGATCCCTCTACATTCTTTGCTATAGGCCCCTCGTTAGCTTAATCCTACACTGGATGTATGTGTAATATTCGAAATTTTACGAGAGACAGCCATATCTTTCAAAAACTCCGTCATCTATAGCACAAACCACCCTAGTAATTGTGCAATATATATGAAATATATTGCCCACTGAGATCTAACGACAGTTGAAGGGCGGAAATCATTCCAGGCAGCTCAAGAAACGGGGTGTGAGGTTGTATCGACCGGAACACCTACTTACATATCAACTTATACCAACAAAATACCATAGGAAATAGACTAGTTTATAACCAGGAAGATATCTCGAATTTCATCCAAATCGAAGGCGAGTTAGATCTACGCTCTGATCACTCCCCATTGTATTTAACACTTAGTGAAACAGTTATTGAAAGAGATCTTGAAGCTATACAGCAAAAATACGGACTGGACTTCGTTCAAGCAAATTCATACTTCAGACTAAAATTAGTTGTCAGAAAACCACAACAATTAAACAACTAGAGTTAAAAGTTGACATATTTACGAAAGAAATACAACAAGCAGCTATCGAATAATACTTCGGAGATAAGGCAGAAAATTACCGTAAATAAAAGAAAGCCATGCGGAAATGGCAACAAACACTCTCACCCCTTGATAAAACCAACCTTAATAAGGCAACTGCTAAATTATATCGAGAAAGTCGTCCAACAAACCACGTTGCACCATTAAAAATTGCTTCCAATACATGAGTTAGAAGTGGTTGTGTTAAGAGCTGAAACCTTTCGTCCAAACGAGTACAGTGAAATCGAGACCCTCGGTAGTATTCAACAGGAACCCAGCAATAAACATTTGGAAACTTAAAAGTGAAATTAAAAAGCTAATGTTAAGAAAGCATTAATTACAGCTGAAGTGTTAACGCAGTTACCATACAAATGTTAACTGAAGTTCATCTATCTTTTTAATACAGCAATCTATATGACACATTTTCCTAGCCTTTGGCAAGTTACCTACTTCCAATTTTCCTACTTCCACAAATGTAAAAACTTTTTGAAAAATTAGTTTATCTAAGATTAAAACCTATAATCCCCTGGCATGAGTATTCTGCCTTTTTTTATAAATGAATTATGAAATTAATCCTCTAAAAAAAAAAAAAGAAAAAAAGAAATTGAACTAGGAGTTCCTCAGGGAAGTATCATCTTAGGTCCACTTTTATATGGTGGGGAATGTTGGGCACATGGGGAATCCCGGGCCAGCGCGATATTTTTTTCCCTAGGATAGGTTGACAGCTGCAACCAACTGTCATCGGCTCGTCTCATACTAAGCTCATTTTCTATATAGCACTCGAGCTGTGAACACGTGTTATAACCTCTCTGCGACAACAAAAAGAAATTCGACACTGCGAAAGTTTTTTTTTCAACTCTGTGTACAGTTGATTTTTTTCACATTTTCCAATAAATTCATCCAGGTAAATATGTTTATAATATTAGTTGAACCTTTACCCTTCGACACACAAAAGAAATTTTGCACGAATTTACATTGTGTTCATTATCCACCRCCATTTTGCAAATATGAGCGTTTGGGGAATCTCGGGGCACTTATTACGGGGAATGTCGGGCCACATAGTTTTTTACATTTGACATGCTAATTTCATATATTTGACGTGTATAAGTGATTTTTCGTGCAGAATTTCAACAACCCAATAGTTTTTCAACTATTCCTGATAGTTTCGTGCTCCGAAAAATATTTTTTAGTCATTATGCCGCGGTACTATCCCAAACAAGAGAAAATAGTTGATTTCGACAACATTTTGGAGGCGATCAAGTCGGTGAAAATACATCACAATAGCGTTCGACAATCTGCGGCAGCACACAAAATTCCGAGGACCAACCTAATGCGTTATATTGCAGCATTTGATGGTGCGAGCATCGACGTTACTGCTGCCAATGCCGATGTAATGAAGAATTTGCTGTCTGAAAGCACGACGATGGGCACAAAAACAGTGAGTTCTGCTGGTTTCTTTCT